CTCAGCGTGGGCGGGGAAGCGGCAGGGCACTCCCCGCCCCGTTCTGGTTTGGACGCCCGAAATTGGTACAGAAAGAATGGGCACAATGTCCAACAACAAATGTTGTCCCAAACCAACAGCGGCCGCTGTTAGGCAGGCGGCCTTCTGTCTCAAATGGACACAAGCCGCGGCGGCGCAGACAGCGAGCCCTGTTTAAAATGAACAGGAAGTGCTGCTGGGCATTGTACCCATTCTTTCAGTACCCATGTCGGTCGTCCCGATCTGGGGCCGCAATTCCCTCCCCTGCCCTCCCGCCTCTCTCCGAGCCTCTTTGTTCTGTTCTGCTCCGCGGCTCGAAAACAAACTTGTTCCAGTTGCGAATACACTTGCAAGGAGTTAGGAGGGCGTGGACTCCCCGCGAAGCGTCATCTAGGGCAATGGCCTCCGCTCCGAAACCTGAACATAGCGGGTCCATAAAAGCCCATGCTGCCAACAGTGGTTCAGACGTCTGTGGTCCTGCTTGGATGCCCCACCGGCCTGCGATACACGCCCATACCCCCGAATAACTTCTCTCTCCTCCCTCACCATATCCATCCCTGGCCCTCTACGAGTACAACAACGAGCCATGTTTGCCAGCGTGGGCCCCAGATAACGAGCCATTGCGCCCTGGATGTGAACCTACGTGGTACGATTCGCCCCATGCTCGAATAACCATCTTACCTACACATCATAAACTTCCCGCGAACCTCAACAGGCGCAATGACGCACGGACCCTGCTCACGCAGACCCATGGCTCACTCGGGCGAATGATGGTGACGAGGACATCGGTGTCGACGACAACGACGACCACGGCGATAGTAATAGCAATGGTGATGGTTCTGGTAGTACTGATAGTAAGGACAATGATGCTGATGGTGGTGATGATTGTTTGTGTGCTCATCCATGGGAAGGAGCAGATGCTCCATCGGCCGCAACAGTCGAGGCGAATACCGCCAAATGTGTGATGTAGATTCTGCGGCTCGTAACTAGTCTAACATTTGCGATCGAATGCAACCACCTTCCAGTTCATATGATATTGCTGGCGGAAAAGAACGGCCATGGTGAAAACCAGCCTTGGTCTTGCCCGTCAGACGTTCTGTGCAAAGTCGAATGGCCCTCCGGATGACATTTCCATCCGAATACTCGGCATAGTAACAGCACCAAAAAACGGTCAATGAGCCGGCCGACGTGTGAAACAAATTGTACGTACGCCGAGCACCGACCGCGTCCAAATCAACAAAATCGCTCTCAACGTTGATGTTCCTCGGAAAGCGCATATGCCGACGATGCCGTGGAAGACAGAGGCACCGCAACATAGCGCCATCATGGACTGTTCGTACATCCTGGGCGGCCTGATGATTGTAGGTCCACGCTCCAGCTGGCCACGTGGTCGAGGATACGCAAACATGGCGGATCAGTCCATACCGCTGCTTCCAAGTAATTGCTTTGCAAGACAAGACGCTCGCCGAATGAACAACCCCGCTCCGAACGGAAAACGTTCTGACTTGCATGTCCTCCCTGGTACGGCCGTTCGTGCAAATGTAACTACCAACGCATCGCATGAAAACGCCATGACCTCCGCGTGTAGTTCCGGGCCATGAATGCTCGGAATCACAACGGTTCTGGCTCACCAGCCGCAGCGTGCTGGCAGAGAGATCAAATCCGTGGTCGCGCAAAGCGGTGCCAAGTAAGCCGATGATCTGGCGTGCATCGCAAATTCAACGAGCAACAATGATGACGTTATCTGATCAGACAATGAACGGCAGGGTTTTGAAATGCCAAGCCCGACAACACTTCGCACCGTGCGTTGCGGACGGGCTGATTGTGAGTGAAACTATATCAAATTTCCAGTGTTTGATTTTATCCCAAACGTGCGAGAAGCAGTCTGGCAACACAATTGCTTAGAATGTGGGCCCCCGCTTGCTACTACGAGGCAGCGAAATCGTGACTGGAGATGTCAGAGCTTGACGTTCATGCAGCCGCGTACGATGATACACTTGTTGTACGTGCCAAAGCATCCATGCGCACAATGCTGGGTCAACCTTGCGTTTCAGCATGGACCATCAACAAAGCTGGAAGATGATGATGGGGATGGTGATGATAATTGTGGTAGTGGTCGTGATAATACGGGCGACGACAACGATGATAATGCTGACGACGATGCTCATGATGATGATGGTGGTGATGAGGAGGAGGATGATACTGATAATGATAGTGATAAATGAGGAGGAGGATGATACTGGCGATGGTAAAGATGACGCCAACAGCGGCAATTACGATGGTGCTGATGGGGGTGGCACGTGAGTGCGCGCGCGCAGAAATCTGGGCACTCTTCTCCGACATAAAATTAGCCTGGCGACAGACCCAACCATACGCAGTTGTGACTACCGCAAATGTGAATCACATCTTCGCCCGCGCTCCCGATGTGGCCACAACTTCCCGCCGGAACCCGACATGCTCAGGGACACGTTCGTGGCCGTCTTCGCGGGCGCCAACGACGACGAGTACGGCGCCCCCCTGACCGAGGCGCAGAAGCAGGAAAGGGCTCTAAAAACCATAAGGGAGGCTGCCACCGGGGCCTTCGGTGGAGCTCCTATGGGGCCACGATCCTCGTGAGGGGTGTGCCGAAATGGCCCGAGGCCGCCATGCGAACCCTGCAACTGGCACCTTCGGTGGAGGCCATGATCCTCGTGAGGGGTGTGCCGAAATTGCCCGAGGCCGCCATGCGAACGCTGCCAATTGGGCCTTCGGTGGAGCTCCCTATGGGGCCACGATCCTCGTCAGGGGTGTGCCGAAATGGCCCGAGGCCGCCATGCGAACGCAGCCACTGGAGCCTTCGGTGGAGCTCCCTATGGGGCCACGAAATGTTGTACTCGGTGTGCCGAAATGGCCCGAGGCCACCATGCGAACGCAGCCACTGGAGCCTTCGGTGGAGCTCCCTACGGGGCCACGATCCTCGTAAGGGGTGTACCGAAATGGCCCGAGGCCACCATGCGAACGCAGCCACTGGAGCCTTCGGTGGAGCTCCCTATGGGGCCACGATCCTCGTGAGGGGTGTGCCGAAATGACCCGAGGCCGCCATGCGAACGCTGCCACTGGCGCCTTCGGTGGAGCTCCCTATGGGGCCACGACCCTCGTGAGGGGTGTGCCGAAACGGCCCGAGGCCACCATGCGAACGCAGCCACTGGAGCCTTCCGTGGAGCTCCCTATGGGGCCACGATCCTAGTGAGGGGTGTGCCGAAATGGCCCGAGGCCACCATGCGAACGCAGCCACTGGAGCCTTCGGTGGAGCTCCCTATGGGGCCACGAAACGCAATACTGGGTGTGCCGTAATGGCCCGAGGCCGCCATGCGAACGCAGCCACTGGGCGCCTTCGGTGGAGCTCCCTATGGGGCCATGATCCTCGTGAGGAGTGTGCCGAAATGGCCCGAGGCCGCCATGCGAACGCAGCTACTGGGGCCTTCGGTGGAGCTCCCTATGGGGCCACGATCCTCGCGAGGGGTGTGCCGAAATGGCCCGAGGCCGCCATGCGAACGCAGCCACTGGGGGCCTTCGGTGGAGCTCCCTATGGGGCCACGATCCTCGTCAGGGGTGTGCCGAAATGGCCCGAGGCCGCCATGCGAACGCAGCCACTGGGAGCCTTCGGTGGAGCTCCCTACGGGGCCACGATCCTCGAGAGGGGTGTACCGAAATGGCCCGAGGCCGCCATGCGAACGCAGCCACTGGGGCCTTCGGTGGAGCTCCCTATGGGGCCACGATCCTCGTGAGGGGTGTGTGCCCAAATGGCCCGAGGCCGCCATGCGAACGCAGCCACTGGGGGCCTTCGGTGGAGCTCCCTATGGGGCCACGAAACGCTGTACTGGGTGGGTGAAACGCAAGGAAGAGGGGGAGGAGGGAGGAGGAGGGGGAGGAGGAGAGGAGAGCAGGGGAGACGCGGGCCACCGTCTCTTCAAAACGAGGACCCAACACCACAGGATGGTTGGGAAAAATTGGCCTGGCGAAAGACCCAACCATACGCAGTTGTGACTACCGCAATTGTCAATAACATCTTCGCCCGCGCTCCCGATGTGGCCACAACTTCCCGCCGGAGCCCGACATGCTCAGGGACACGTTCGTGGCCGTCTTCGCGGGCGCCAACGACGACGAGGACGGCGCCCCCCTGACCGAGGCGCAGAAGCAGGAAAGGGCTCTAAGAGCCATAAGGGAGGCTGCCACTGGGGCCTTCGGTGGAGCTCCTATGGGGCCACGGTCCTCGTGAGGGGTGTGCCGAAATGGCCCGAGGCAGCCATGCGAACGCAGCCACTGGAGCCTTCGGTGGAGCTCCCTATGGGGCCACGATCCTCGTGAGGGGTGTGCCGAAATGGCCCGAGCCGCCATGCGAACCCTGCCACTGGGGCCTTCGGTGGAGCTCCGTATGGGGCCACGATCTTCGTGAGGGGTGTGCCCACATGGCCCGAGGCCGCCATGCGAACCCTGCCACTGGCACCTTCGGTGGAGGCCACGATCCTCGTGAAGGGTGTGCCCAAATGGCCCGAGGCCGCCATGCGAACGCTGCCAATTGGGCCTTCGGTGAAGCTCCCTATGGGGCCACGATCCTCGTCAGGGGTGTGCCGAAATGGCCCGAGGCCGCCATGCGAACGCAGCCACTGGAGCCTTCGGTGGACCTCCCTATGGGGCCACGAAGTGCTGTACTGGGTGTGCCGAAATGGCCCGAGGCCGCCATACGAACGCAGCCACTGGAGCCTTCGGTGGAGCTCCCTACGGGGCCACGATCCTCGTGAGGGGTGTGCCGAAATGGCCAGAGGCCACCATGCGAACGCAGCCACTGGAGCCTTCGGTGGAGCTCCCTATGGGGCCACGATCCTCGTGAGGGGTGTGCCGAAATGGCCCGAGGCCGCCATGCGAACGCAGCCACTGGCGCCTTCGGTGGAGCTCCCTATGAAGCCACGATCCTCGTGAGGGGTGTGCCGAAATGGCCCGAG